TTGATAGCTCATATGATACCGCCTCAAAGACCTACCCCTACACTTCTTGTTGCTAGTGATTTGCTCATTTGGTAGGTTTTAGCCACACTTGGAGTAGGAAGCAGGATTTTGCTTCAAGGTGTTAAACTTTAATTGCACACTTCAAGAAAAGGTTCCTTCTTTAAATAAAGATTCAACTTACATAGGTTGACAAAGTACAAGACTATGAAGCCTGAAACAATTACTGAACAATTAGTTAAAGTAAGAGTTGACAATAAAAGCAATCAGTAATCAAAAAGTCACTTTCGGAAAACTACAGTACAGTGAGGCTTTATAGACCATATCCCCTTACAGGCAGACAAAGATGAAGCTGAAGCATGTTTATATAAAATTATATTAAAGGAAATTAATTCAAGTGCAATGCTTTTAAGCAGAATTTGCCTACATTACCTAAGAGTACTACTGAATTTGAATGGAACATAGTGACTTCAAAGCATATTGTATAAAACAATCTACTGAGATGTGGGAAAAATTAGATTCCTATAGTTATTTCTGCTTGAATAAGACTAATATTTGAGGGTGAGATACTGAGCTAAACTTACTTTTCATTTATTAACTAATTTATTTTTTTTTTAAAGCAGGAGCGGAGGGGCAGAGGGAGAGGGACAAGACTCCCCACTGGATCATGACCTGAGCCCAACGCAGACACTTAACCGACTGAGCCACCCAGGTGCCCCTTATTAACTCATTTAATATAATTAAACTACACATGAATATAATGAATAAGTCACAGGAAGTCACAGAGGTAATAAGTAGTAGACAGGATCCAAACCCAGACAATCTAGTCCCAGATTAATCACTAACCTATAACACTTCTCATAAGTTTTAATAACATTTAATTTCTTATTTTCACCAATTGAAAATGCACTTTCTCATTTTAATCTCTGAAAACAGTGTATCTTAAAATGGATGGCATCTTATAATTGACAGTATTTTCTTCTTTCTTGGTGGTACATAAAATCACAGTACATCTTAGAATCAATGGTTTCTTGTTTTTGATGAAATGCAAATAGCTACTCGCTAGATCTGTTATGTTAGACCTTTACAAGTTGTACACTATATTCAAGGTAATCCTGATAGAATGGGAATTCCAAAATCATAGGAGATGACAGTGATGTTCTAACTAGTTGAATAGTGTGATACCATATGCTGATTAATCTATGCCTGATTATGTGGATTTACAGATTCTATCCAGTTGTAATTGAACTAACCCTCAAAAAATGGTATCAGACAAATGGTAACTGAAGAAACCATTCATTGAAGAAAACAGCACAAATGCAAAGCATAAAGAGAATAAGAAAATAACAGGACTGAGACAAAAAAGTTTGACAAGAACTGCGTAAAAAAATTCTAAGACTATTTGAAATACGGCATTATATGAATCTCACTTTTAAGTGTATACTGAGCCTTGAAATATTATCTAATAATAGTAATATATGAGATCAATTATAAACAAACATATCTGAAGCATATTTGAATTTTTTCCTACTAAAAAGATACACAATTAAGAGTTTAGAGACACATGAAATAAGACAACTCAACTTCTGGCCTTAAAAGAAAAAAAAATCCCGTGGTAACATCTCTTCATGTTAAATAAAATGTTATGTTAAACAATATCCTCACAACTAATGAGGAGGGGGTGAAGTGGTGTGTGCAGAGAAAGGAAACTACCACTGCATTTTACTTGATAAAGTCACCAATAAAAGATAGTTATTTGTGGATTCTGTATTTGCAAATTTACCTACTTGATAAAATTTATTTGTAACTCCAAAGTCTTACATGAGGGAGGCGCTTTCTCCGTCTCTCACAGACATGTCACAGAACAGGGACAATTCTGATTGCTTCATGCACAACTTCCCAGCTGTTAAACAAGGTGATTGATACTTTACCTTGTTTCAGCTCTCAAACTGTAAATAAGTGTCTCTTTTGCGTCCATTTAGTAACACGTTTTTTACTTTTTTGTGTTTTTGTTGAATCCATTGTTTTAAATGGCTCCCAAGTGTAGTGCTAAAGTGCTGTCTAGTGTTCTAAGCACAAGAGGGAGGAATCTAGGGGCGCCTGGGTGGCTCAGTCGTTGAGCGTCTGCTTTTGGCTCAGGTCATGATCTCAGGGAAGCCTGCTTCTCCCTCTCCCACCCCCCTGCTTGTGTTCCCTCTCTTGCTGTGTCTCTTGCTGTCAAATAAATAAATGAATAATTAAAAAAAAAAAAAAGAGGGAGGAATCTTGTAGGAATCTAACTCTGCTATTTCTCTTGGAGCAGTGGTTCAGTATTCACTAATTCAGAGTTTGTGGTGATTATATAGAACAGGACTGCTGAGAACAACAAGAATTGACTTAGATCCTGGGTCATTTTCACATTAATATGAGATTCTTTTGCCTTATACTCTGTTCCAACATTTAAAGTTAAACCATTACACTACACTTACTAGTTTCTGAATTTTAAGTGTATTAATAAAGTGTATTAAATAAAATATTTATTTTCAGTCCTTTCTATAGCAAAAGGGGAATACTGGTTGTAATTAAATGAAATTAAACATTACAAAGAGAGTTCAACTATACCTTTATTGTTTCTGTTCAAAGAGGCTCTCATAAAATTGCTAATGTTTGCATAAGCTGTGACATAAATAATGTGTATTATATTACCAACAGAATTTTCTTTGCTTTACAGACCTATAACACTGATAATGAAAAAGCCCATCCCCTTTTACTACTTGTTTACTACAAACATCATGAACCTCAATGAATTAGAGCTTGGTAGTTCCCTTTGAAGACTTATGAGCTGTCCAACCCTCTAAGACAAGCCAACCAAAATCATCCACCTTGGAACCTTGTAAAAGGCCCCTTTTAAGTGAATCTGTCCTGCTAGCAGCCTAGGATAGTGGCTTTCAAAGGCAGAAATACCTGAAAGTAAACCCCAGCCAATTACAGAAAGAGGCTAAGCCATTGAGTAAGACCACAGGAAATTATGGCAGATCCAAGTTGAGAATAAACAGAAGATAAAGAAGCAGAGAAAGATAGGGGAAAACAATAAGCCACTTGGTAACCAAACAAAAAGAAACAAGCCACTTGGTAGCCAAACAAAAAGAAGCTCACACTGGGCGCCTGGGTGGCTCAGTTGGTTAAGCGACTGCCTTCGGCTCAGGCCATGATCCTGGAGTCCCGGGATCGAGTTCCGCATCAGGCTCCCTGCTCGGTGAGGAGCCTGCTTCTCCCTCTGACCCTCTTCCCCTCTCATGTACTCTCTCTCCCATTCTCGCTCTCTCAAATAAATAAATCTTTAAAAAAAAAAAAAAAAAGCAGCTCACACTAAGAGTAACTAAATAACATAAATGCCAGTGAGAACCATACTCTTGCTGTTGAATACCCTGAAACTGTAGAAGAGCTTTCTACAGTTTGTTTGGTTAATTATCTTAGTCTTCCTGCTATAGCTATGTTCCAGTGAGATTGTTTTCTTAATTCAGTAACCTACAGCCCTCATTCCCCACCAATTCCCATTTGAAGCAACTTACCCAAAATAGAGGTTGGAAAATTTCCGGTTAGAGAATGTAAGTCAAGCATCCAAAAGAGAGTGGGAGCGTAGGAATTGTGAGACAAATTAAGGTCCTTTTCAATCCCAAAAGGCCATGAGTCTAAGCTGTCATCCTACTTAATGTTTTCTTCAAAGTAACACAAATTTCTATAAATTTATCACCACCAAGTAGTAGTTCCTTTTATAGTCCTAAATTGATACTTAAACAGGTATGCTCTAGTTGTAATATTCTAAGTTTTTACAAATGCCCTCATTTTAGCTTTACGACTTTACAGATTTCAATGATAATTTCTCTTAAGCCTTATTTCTAGAATATAGAGTCTTTATATTTTTAGCATCTTGTAACACCCAAGACCCCTAGTACTTCTAATCCAATAGTATATTTTACACTATATGTATGGTACTATTTTCTTTTCACTGAGCATTGCACCTTGGATATCTTCCTCTGTACATAAACATCTTTCTTGCTCTTTTTAAAAGGGTATGTTGTTTCATTATACAAATGTACCATAATTAATATTTCACTAGTCCTTATTAATAGACCTTGGGTTGTTTCCAATTATTTACTATTACACACGATATTATTGGGCAACATCTTTTTACATGTGTAGCTGTGAGTAGGTATGACTAAGTACATATCACTGGATCATTTTAAGCTGCTACTTTCTGAACTGTTCTGAGCTTAGTTATGTCTTTCAAGAGGAACAAAGCCTAGAAAGCACTCCAAATTCTTGTTGCAGATGCAAAAATAATTAGCAATCGATTTCCATTAAATATAGACCAAAGACCTGGAAAATTTGGGTTTCTCTTAGTGTAGAGATAATGACAAACCAGGATCTAAGAGAGCTGAGTGTGGCATGATGCTTCTGATAATGTTCACCTAAAAAGGAATGACTGTGGAAGCTCGATTAGAAAAATGGGAAAAAGGGTCTCTTTTATGGAGCGGTCTCGTATTGGCTTGAGACTGGATCTTAAAGGGTTCCCAAGCCAAGAAAAGATTTTTATTATTGAAGAATCTTAGATACCTCAGATATGAGGTTAAGAAATAATAAAAGCTTAACAGGTGAATCTTTGAAACTTCTGATTCTTAATGTTTCCAATTTCCCAAAGTTCAAAGATCAGATGTTTGTTTTAAAAAATGACATATGCGTGTATACTTTTAAAAGAAGGACTAAAACGATTAACGTCATAGCTCCTGCCTTCTTTAAAACCACTCTACCCGGCAGCCTGGCTGGAGGAGAGAGAGACCCGAGCGCCGCTGGAGCCGCATCCACGCAGCTGCCCCGGCCGCCGGTCAGCGCTCGGGGTCGGGGCTGGGTCCGGGGCCAGTAACGGCGGGGGAGGGGTGAGGGGGGAGGGGGGAGGCGAGGCCGCCCGAGAAGGAAGGAAGAGCTTCCTGGGCCCACCCGCGGCCGTCGCTCCCGGCTCTCACCTCAGCTCTTCGTCGACACTCCTGCCGGGCTGCTCGGCCGAGGCCACCACAGAGGAAGTCGCAGAACTCTTGTTCTTCAGGATCCCCTTGATGGGCCGATGCGAGGCCGTCGAGGCCGCCATTGCCCGCCGCTCCGGCGGTCGGCTCAGCGTCGCTGCTTGGCGCTGGGTCCAGGAAGGAAAGGGCTGGGCGCGAGCACAGACTCGCCAGGCAGCCGCTGAGCCCGCCTGGGGCTAAAGCGGCCGCACCTGCTGTCGCGGAGACAGCTACCGGAGTCGTTGTCACGACACAACGACCCCGACGCCACGGCCGACGCCGCGCGGCTGGCGGCTCTTCACGCGCCCTCCGCCACCGACACTTAACCGCGGCCCGGGGACAGAAGCCGGCCTAGTGCCCCAGCGCGGGAGCGACGCCGACGCCGAAGCCAAGCGGACCCGCCCTCTCGCGATATCTAGGGAGGGGCGGGGGCGGGGCGAGAACAAAGCCAACCTCCTCGCCCCGCCCCCTCCCTGTCCTTCTGTCGGCTTGCTCGGGCGCAGAGTCCAGGAGCTGTAACAGAGAACGTTCGAAGAGGTTCCTGGTTTGCCTCCGTATAAAGTTACAGATCGCTCCAGGCACCCTCACTCCCACCACCTCATAAGGTCCATATTGTTGTTTTTGCGTTTTATAAATCGGAAAACTGAGGCTCACGGTGACATCATTCCACAAAGATGTTAGCTGATTTTTAGAGAAATGATATATGTGTCACCTCTTTCCTTACATTTAACCGCATAAAAAGTTTTAGCTGTTATAAATTCATGGAAAATCAGCATTAGAGTGGTCCTTAGAGACCTATTATGAAATCACAGAATACTGACTTTTATGAAATCATAGAATACCAGCATTGAAATAGTCTGACTGATTTTACCATTGGAGTAAAGTACAGAGAAGGTGACCTGACCGCCACTGTCACACAACCATAGTGTGTGGTCATAGAACTTGAGGCTTCTGACCTCTGGTGTCTCTGAGTCTGGTGTTTCCCCATTTACCACATCCTCCCTATGTGTTTGTAATCCCATGGAAGGTATTGCTGGCATAAATTTCTAGAATTGTGATTTATAATCTGTCTCCCCAAAAAAAAAAAATCTAGAAAATTCATTTAAGGTAGCCAGTTTGTCCAACACTGGATGAAATAGGCCAGAAATCTTGGGTGCTGTTTAGGTAGTTGTAAGAAGAATCCCAAAGGAGAAAATCAAAAACCAAAAACCTCACACACACACAGCCTCCCCAAGTCCATGTTATTCTGTGCCTGGGTGTCAAGGAAAGATTTCAGGGAGCTCTTTGATGAGAGGAGAGAGCTTGAGCCTCTAGGGTGTCAGGATAAGTGGGTGTCCGGGTTGGGGGTGCTGTGGATATTGTGAGGAGATGGGGATTCTGTGAAAAACAGGAAAGGGCAGAAGTTTGAAACCCTGGGAACAGTCTCAGAACTATGCTGTATATAAAGTCAAGCTAGGGCTAGCAGAGGGAGTGATGTCTACTCCAGGCACCCAGCCTCTCTCCATGCAGTGCCAGCACTGGGAGTTGTACAGATGGGAAAAGTTGAGGTCTCAGAGATTCAGCAAGTTTCTTCCTGTTATGGACTGAATTGTATCCCCCCTAAAAGTAAGATATGTTGAAGTACCTCAGAGTGTAAACTTATTTGGAAATAGATTAAGTGCAGATCTAATTAGTTAAATTAATATGAGGTCATACTGGAGTAGGGTGGGCCCCTAATCCAATATGACTCTTGTCTCTGTAAGAAGCTGGCCGTGTGAAGACAAGGAGGACACCATGTGATGACAGAAGATTGGACTGATACACCCATAAGCCAGGGAAAAGCAGAGTGATCAAAGCTGGGAGAAGGATGGAGCAGATTCTCCTTTAGAGCTCTCAGAAGGAACCAACCCTGCTGACACCTTGATTTTGGACTTCAAGCTTCAGAACTGTGAGGCTCTAAATTTCTGTTGTTGAAAGGTACCCAGTTTGTGGTACTTTGTTATGGCAGTCCTGTAGACCCCCTTCCCTCCAACTCCTTCCGCCAGTTGCCAATTCCCTCCTCACCAGGCTTTCTCCTACTACCCTCCCCTGACCAAGCCTCATCATCCTCAGGACCAGCTAGAGCAGAGCAGACTAGTTCACCCAGAACTGCCATCTCCAGGAGACCAGCCCCTTGGGGATTCATAGATCACAGGTCTGGAAGGGATCTTGTCAATCCCACCAGTAGCTATCCAGCCTCTTCTCCAATAAGCCAAATGACCAGGAGCTGGCCATCCCCCAACACAGCTCATTTTATCTTTGGACAGTTTTGACTTCAGTTCTTCCTCAGGTTGCACTAACACCTAGTTCCCAGCAACATGGGTCCACTGGGGTAGGGAGTGGGGTGAGAGAATGTGTCAGGGGGTAAGGGCTGTACTCTATCTTACCCCGATGGCAGCCCGCTCACTCATCTCCTATCTCTGGGCCCCCCACTCACTCATCTCCTATCTCTGGGCCCCACATCTCAACTCCTTTAACACAGGCTCTGCACCTTAAGGAGCAACACAGTTCATGTCCTTAGAACCCTGCTCCTCAGAAATGACTTCAGTGTTCCTTAAAACTATTCTGCTTTTATTGTCTGCCCCCCCCCCCCCACCAAGTCTCGCTGAGATCCTGGCATGGAACAGTAAAGGAATGATTCCTGAATGAAAATAATGGAGAGGAAGTGAGCAGGAAGGGCAGAAAGGCAACAGCTTTGCCAGTCAGGGTCCCCTGTGTTCCCCGGGGATTTCCCCAGGTGGGCTCTCCACAGTCACTCTTGGCACCTCCCCCTCCTGGCCCCATTTCTGCTCTAAGCCACAGGTCCCCAGCTGCCCTCCTCCCTCACCACCACTGGATCTGACCTCACACCCTGATAGCCCCACCCAGCCCCTGGGCCAGAGAGAAGGTTCTCATTCAAGGGGAAGCAGGATGGCCACCTCCCTTCCTGAGTCCTTTCCACCACATTTTCTCACACCTGCGTTGCCTCTCTTGCCCTGTCAGCAGGAGCCCAGGTCAGCAGTGGTAATCCTGTTTTCAAAGGAATACGCAAAACTTCCCATCATATTCTAAATTATTGGGCAGATTTGCTTTGTTCCTGCTTGGGCCCAGAGTCACCTCCCTGAACCTGTGACAGGGCCCCTAATTAAGCACTGCCTTGCTTTGAGACCCTCTAATGAAAAGGCCTACCATAGTATGACCTCATGTGTTTTATTACAGTTAATAAAATAAAATACGTTGGAACAGGAAGTAATGAGTTCTCTGAAGAACCTTGAAAAAATGTTTCCCTCATCAAAATTCAAACTTCGCCTCGCATATTATTTCTTCCACCCCCAACCCCACTAAAAGTGAGTGCAAAGAGGACTTTCTTTTTTTTTTTTAATGTTTTATTTATTTATTCATGAGAGTCAGAGAGAGAGAGAGAAAGAGAGAGAGAGGCAGAGGCAGAGGGAGAAGCAGGCTCCCCGCCTAGCAGGGAGCCCGATGCGGAACTCGATCCCAGGACCCTGGGATCATGGCCTGAGCCAAAGGCAGACGCTTAACCATCTGAGCCACCCAGGCGCCCCAACAAAGAGGACTTTCTTAATATTTAAAAAAATAATAATAAAATGTTAGTTTGCAAGGCTGTAAGTGCCAGTACAGCTTTTCCTTATATTTTAGAATAATTGAACCACTTGATCCCTCAGCTTGGCCCAAAGAAGATTTCCAAATGCCTCTACATAGAGCCCTCCTTCTATGCCTTGCTGAGATCCACTCTTATAGGAAGTCATCTGGACAAAACAGCCCAAACACTAAATTTGGCTGTATTGGTATTATTTCCTGAGTGTTGAGGGTTTGGCTGCCAAGAGATGGATTGTGGATGGAATCTTCCATTGTGGATCCAGTTTCTGGAGGTAGCTATTGAGCTCAAGACAAATCACATATTTAAAAATATATTCATGTTTAAGGATTATCTCACAATTATTCCTGCTTTCTTTTTGAAGACTTCATATGGTTGCCTGGTTCAATGCTACATATAGAGAGGAGGACAGGAGATACTTTTAATGTACACATGTATGTGGCTAAGCCACTTGGCTCTCTGCTCATTGAAATTGGCTAACTGAGGCCAATGCCACTTGGTTTCTCACCAAGAACAGAATTTCAAACCTAGCAAGGGCTTCAGTGGCTGGCTCTACCCAGCCTGCCTACGTCATCAACCAGGGTTCAGTGAGCAGAGAAATGATAGTACCTGCCTTCCAACCTCTGGAACAGTACCCAAAGGTTTGACTTAATGACCACTAGTCAACAGTAGCTCTTTCCCTGCCAAGAATAGCACATTGTTCGTTTCCTTTTCAAGTAATCCCCCCACAGGACAAGAAAATCACACATTTTGTAGTACGCATGGTAGAAATTCATGGTAGCAGGGGCAAGAGTATTTAAACCAAGTACAAAAAGTATTCAAAAAGAGAGAAAGGCAAGGACAAAGATGAATCATTTTCTGCTTTAAAAAAATGACTTTGATTTGCAACTTTGCACTGTTCTCTTCAAAGATATCTCTCAAAAGTTTCCTAAACCTTACCATAAAATCCCCCAGTGTGCCAAAATATTTTTCTTTTTTTTTCTTTTTTTTTTAAGATTTTATTTATTTATTCATCAGAGACAGAGAGAGAGAGAGAGAGAGAGGCAGAGGGAGAAGCAGGCTCCCCGCTGAGCAGGGAGCCCGATGCGGGACTCGATCCCAGGACCCTGGGATCACGACCTGAGCTGAAGGCAGACGCTTAACCATCTGAGCCACCCAGGTGCCCCCAAAATATTTTTCTTAAAAGACTCACAACACATAGACAGACCTGTCAGGTATACAAAGGTTTTGTTAGTTTCCAAATGTTTCCTGACCTTTTAAAAACTAGTTAAATTGAGGGAATTTCAGGAAGCACTTCCTTTTTCCAAACCTTTCAGACAAAAAAAAAAAAAAAAAGGAAAGAGAAAAGAAGGCAGGATAAGTAGTGTGAAGAGCCTTGGAATGGTAAGTAGGAAATGTGAATTATTTTCTTGGCTAAGCCACAAATTTATCTTGTGCCTGCCAGAAATCACTCAGTTTTTTGTGACTGTAAATTTTCCATACATGTCAACTGGTCTGGTTTGTAAATTATTGCAAGAAGTAAGCAAGCAGTGCCATACGCTGTAATTTCATTATGCTGATGTTGCCAGACTCTATTGCGTTTTAATATTCTGTGAACTCATAGTGGAATCAGGAGTAGAGATTTTGATTCAGAATACATGTGATGTTCGTATAAACACTTCCTGGAAAACCCAAAAAATGAAGTCTGTATAGTCATTGTTTACACTAGGAAGACTTTTTCCTTTAATAACTATGTTTATGTTCACTTGCATTTGTTCTACTTTGAAATTTCTCAGATATGTA